TGCATAAACAAATACACTTATTACACAAAGTATTTCGAGGATTCTCATTACTAAGTTTAGTAATGAGGCTCTAACATATAACATTTTTCAAATCTGAATCTATAAGCATAAACATATATGTATAGTATCATATTTATTGCATCAGAGAAGCAATAAATGTTGTTATTACTTTCAAACTTTTAAATTAATCTTAATTCTTTTATTTTCAATCTGTCATCATTACCACATCTAAAATGATTTTGTAGCCTGAAAAATTCATTCAAAAGCAATTAAAGAGATGCCACTATCTACAAATATATAAGATACTTTGTGAGAGTCATTTGCATACTAATACTTGCCAGTTTTTCACAAATCCTACTAGCACAGTGATCAGATTTCTACGTTATCATATGTTTTACAGTGAAAACACAACTAATTTAAAAAACAGAAGGAAACATACTTCATGGCAAAAGCCTGAAGCAGGGTTGCCAGCTGTCTGTAAATCTTGCTACAGTCCATAAAAAAGAAAAAAAATTAAAAAAGCCTTGTCTATAAGTCCATTAAAAAAGAAGAGCTGTCTGTAAAAAATAAGAAACTGTGAGCTTTATTTGAAGATATGTTTTTGGAATGAGGCTGAGTGCTGATGGACAGACAAAGCAGGGCAATGCCATCTTATATCTGAGCAGGAGAAGTTTGGTGCCCTGCAGAGAGCTCTCTGTCAGAGCTTTGTGACCCATGGGAGTGTCTATAGCCCTCTACCCCCACCCAACTACATGCTGTCACTGTGTCCTGTCTGCCAGCACCTGCCTGTAACAGCTGCTCACTTCAGAAGTATGCAGACTGCATAGCCCCAGGCAGTCTGAGGCACCAGGTAAGAAGGTGGTAGAGGGAAGGTGTGTGGCTGGGACACAGCTGCAGGACTGGAAGGGGGTGGGGGAAATGGGTAGGTGAGAGCCCATATTAGGATGAGAGGGTTGGGGTCAGCATAGTGCGAGGTGTGGTCAGGGGTATCAGGTTGTGGAAGTAACTAAAGGTCACATGGGGCAACATGGTATAAAACCATTGACCATTGCTAGTTAAATAAAACTCTATTCGATCACTTATCACTCATATTAGCGTTATGTATAAAATGGCACATTAGAAAAAGAGCAAGTGATAATCTTAAAGCATGGATGAACCCATGGCTGAGAAAGACAATTGGGCAGAATATGTACATTTTAGTCTGCTTAGACTAAAGATCAGGAATTCAAAGAATGCATTTGTGAAGGCAAGGAAAGCAAATGTAATGCTAAACACAGCTGGAGTAAGATGTTTATTGTAGCACATGGCGGTACACGAAACCATTAAGTAGCACAAAACATGTCAGCATATTATCAATGATGAACACTCCATTTCAGTTGAGTGTTACTTCCAACTGGGGAACTTTGTTCACATTAGAACACCCAATTAAAATTTATTTTCCCAGGTTTCTGGATGTGGGCTAGAGCCAGATTTATAAAACAGTAAATTGTAAAGCATATGGTAGGAAAAGCATACATCAGCAGAAAAGTTTGGTTGTCAGTAAAAAGCTTTCAGATTCTTACTAAAACATTATTTTCTTGGGTTGGCAACCATACCCTGAATCTGGCCACTAAAGACACTTACTTTCCTGCAACTAATTTTAAAGAGGGGGACAAAAATCAAGAGAAAAAAGCCAAAAGTTTCAAAGATAATCACATAGGAAAATGTTCCTAGACTCTAATCTTGTGATGTAAAAATCCTTAACTCCTCCTTATTTCACTGGGAGTTCAAGTGATCAGTATGCTGAACTATGCTTTTAATAAAGAAACGAGCGCTTATCTGTCAACAGACTAAGACTACTAAGAGATGGGTAAGTAAGTAGGCCACAGTGTTTTTACATTAGCTATTCACCTGTAGAATTCTAGGTTCCAATGTAAAAAAATGAGTTTAACACCTTCTGTTCATCAAGGGACGTCAGTCAGATGGACATACACAAACATCCATCTATATCAGGGGTCAGCAACATTTTTGGACAGTGCCAAAAACACCCGCAAACTTAACTTGTAAGATGTTGGTATGCTAGGGGAAGATGGTGAGGAAACTGCAAGGGGCCCGATCCTTGTGGCAGCGCAGCCCCAGCCACTTCCCAAGGCACACACACCAAGCGAAATGCCTTCACATGCCACACACTGGCACATATGCTGAGCATTGCCTACTCCTGATCTACATCATAAGTATTAAATACAGATGCCAGTAAGACTTCTATACAAATAATACAATATACATAAATATGTAAAACTGCAACTTCACAACATGGTGCCAGAGAATCTAACTGCTCAGTGCTCCTGTAAGAGAATCTAGCAGCTCGGTGCCATGGGGGAGCTTCTGGATACTCAAAGGTGATTTTAGGGCTCTGCGCCACATAGGGGCAGGGGTACCTGCCTCAGTCATGCAGTGCAGCAGTGTGGGGAAGTGCCTGCCTGTGCACATGCTCAGGGATAGGGAAGTACCACGTGCCATGGGGTGGGGAAGCACCCGCCCAAGTGTAGGGGATCACCTGGTCTTGGTGTATGGGAGAGCAGAGCAGCAGGATGGGGGTGCACCCACATCTGCACATGTGATACAGCCTGGAGGGGACCCATGGCCCTCATTAATGCAGCTCCTATGGTGTGCAGCCCCTGGCTGAATGGAAGTTGGACAGCCCTGTGCTATTACACACCCAGGCACAGACTACAAGGTAAGATCAGAATGACACTGGAAGCTTTGAATTTCCTTCTGCAAATTATTCTGCACAGTATTCGTAAGGTTAAACAATGTGCCAGTAACATATAGGATAAGTGCTTAATATAGTATGCTTATACAGCATGACGGTAATTTCATTTGGCTTCACTGTTAATGCATAGAAACTTATAAGACATATTGTAGGCCTACTCATACTTTAAAAAGTTAAGAATGTACACAGAACAGTTTTGACAAGCCTTCTCATTTGCGTGTGGTGACACCACTTGAGCTGACTTATTCTGACTGGCAGTTTACCTCTTGTCAAGAATGTGAGCAAGTGGTCTCCTCTAAAGCTGATACCAATGTTGTTGTATGGAACGGTACAGAAAGGAGTTGCTGTAAGACCAGTGCAACAAGTCACTTCTGCTATACAATCAGTACTGGAGTGCTTAGATAGGATTTCTGTCTATTCTTCTAGAGACTTTGGTTGTCACCAGCAACTCCAGGATTGTAATAAGTGGATATAATATGTTTATTTTTGTTAACAACAACCAAATGTACCAAAGGATCAACACAACAGGAACAGAGAGGGTTTTAAGCTTAGCCACAGTCTTGAGGGCAAACAAGCAAGAAGTAAAAATGTAAAGGAATCAATTATACTCACTTTTTTATGACTCTTAAGGACTGAAGGAGTCACAAAGGCTTTGTCACACAGATCACATTTATATTTTTTATGTCCATCATGTACAACTTGTATGTGAACATTTAATGTGTCTTTTCTTTTGAAGGTAGCATCACAGTGATCACACTTGAAGGTTCTCTCACCTTATAAATAGGAAAAAGCAAAGTGTTAAGCTACTTTCAGAAATCACATTAACTCTCTCATCATCTGGGAAGGAGAACAGGACCCAAAAATGTGCTGTGTGAAGCAATTACACAGCCAGGTCCAATATTGTGTGTTGCCAGCTTCTGATCCTCATGCAAAAAGAAGGTACACCAGGTATACCAAAGCATGGTCTCTCCTCTCCCTTGGCAAAATATAACACTCAATTTGCACAAAATAATCTACTGGAAAATGAATCTATCTCAGTTTTCATTATGTATTCTTATTCCAAGTCAAATGCCAATGAATGGAAAGATTCCCACTAATTCCAAATGGGCTATGCAACAAATCTTACCTGGTAGCACATGCTGAAACACTCATTATGGAGACTATTTAAAGACAAAGATGTAAAATGACTTTGATATTATTTGTCAAATGCATTCTCTCCATCGCAAAACAGACTTTACTTCCTGTACAAGTAGATCTTAAAACTATTTTACTCAGCTAACACAGGGGGAGCCAGTAAAGATCAGGACTATTTTTACCGGCTTGTGCTATATGTAGGCAGTTTTACACCTCTAGGACCTCAACTTTTTCCCCCAATAATATACTTAATAAGTTGTAAAATCATTCACTTTGATGAGCAAAAACAAAAACAGTTTTATTTGAGAAAAATACAGGTATTAGAGTACAGAATACTTTATCCCCTAAAATACTTAGCCCCCATCACTAAGATTCATAGTCGCTATGCATGCATTGTAACATGCCTTCTGGTAGAGATTTTAAATTGATACTGCACCAAAGTATTTACATGAAATTCTAGAAAACAGGAAATTCTTGTTTTCTATTCTGATACCAGTTTTCTTCAACAGCTTCATGTAAATTCATTAATGTTAACATACTTTGTTATATCCTATTACTCCAGTAAAGGAAGAAACTTTTTTAAAAAACGCTTTCCAACAAGATCTTCTACACCTCTTGAAATAGAAAATCGTATTTTTTTTTAAATAACAATCACCAGTCGTGTCTTTTTCCCCTTTTCTTTACAGGAGGCAACTTGGATCTAAATTTGGAGAAAAATTAAAACAAAAGAAAACATGTAGCAATCCCAGACATAATTCTAATAAATAATTTTAGTTATGGAAGCCAGATATATTTCTGTAATTTCCTTAACGTTATTCATTGTCCTTTTTGAATTAGGACAAGATCTGCCATGTGTTGTGTTTCAGTTTTTGGTTAGTGTCAGGGAGGGTGGGACGAAGCATCTTCTTTGTCATTTTATCTGCAATTCTGACTTTCATCAGGAAATGGCAAAGATCCATATTTTCTCACACAGTAAAATCAATGCAAGTAACCCAGCCTAAATTATTCATATACCTTATTTCATTAATTAGCTAACCATCTGACTCTCTCAATAATATCATATTTGTGTTTAGCATGCTATTTAAAATATATTCAGTATTTTTTGTTCAAAGTGCTTGTTTAAACGAAATCATTCCAGTCAGTGAGTTTCCTAAAATGACTCCATACATTGGCAGGCTATATGTACCAACATAAAATTAAATGTCATGGGGAAAAAGAAAGTAATAATAGAATAGTAATGTTGAAAAGTGAAGCAAGTGCTGTAAATAATGTTGCTTGTACATTGTTTCACTCTGTCCCACCGTGTACAGAAATTATAACGCAGTTTTTAATCACATTTAATTCTTCTAAAAGACCCATGGTTATCCAGGGGTTCTGTAAAATACTAAATACTAACCAATTTAGCAAAGCACTTAATTACACTGAAGTTAATGGGCATGCTCAGATGCTTATAGTTAAGGACATGTTTGCGTGCTATGCCAAATTAGGCCTAGAACGCACAAGACAGGCAGCAGCAAGCGAATGAAGCTATTCAGTATGCCTCCTTCTTAGCCTACTTACTCAACAAGCGGCTCCATACCTCATTAACTCCACACATCATCCAAACGCAGTAATTTAATCTTTCTTATCTTTATAAGCTTTTTCTGTTTTATTAGTTAGTTTACCTTCATAACACTCTTGTGTTTTTCTTGCTTGAAGAAGAACAACACAAGAAACACAGACTGGTAGAAAACAGGACTGAAAGGGACATTATTATGTCATCTTGTCTACCTCCTCATTCTTGAAGAAGGCTCAGGTACACTAGACCAGCTCTGACAGAGGTTTCGCTAACTTGTTCTCCCCTATCCTCCATAAGTTCTCAAAAATAACTGTTAACAGCACCCTAAGTATTCTGGAATAAAATTTATCACAGTCAGTCAATTTGAAAACAACTAACTTCATTACAGACAGGCTAGCAGAAGACAGTATTCTCAACCAGGGGCTGTCAACCAGGGGTACTTGGGAAGGCCCCAGGGGGTACGCAGCAGTGGCGTGAAGAAGCGGGGGCACTTCTGGTTTTGCTGCTAGCACTTCTGGTTTCACTGCTGCATGCAGGGAACGACCCCCTCCCCCACTCATCTATCAGCCACCAGGGGGTCCCCTCCCCCACCCAATCAGCCAAATCAGTTTCATAACCCTTGTCATATGGGTTGCCTTTTATTTTCATATTGCTATCCAATTCTTCCTTTCTGATAAAGACCAAATCAAAATGACTTTCTTCTGCATCAAATAGTTGCCTACAACATATTTCAAGAACTTGTTGGGTAGCCTTTGTTCTACTGTATTACATAACAATAGATGTCTGGATAGTGAGGGGGCAAAAACACCAGAATATTGGCACAGTAATGGAAGAGATTCTTTAGAAGATGTAAAAGCAAAAGCCCTACTAGATTTCAATAGGACCATATCTCCTTCTAAAATGCTGCATCATAAAATCCACTATGCATATTAACCTCATATGTTATCCTTATTTAAATAATTACAATCAATTCTCACTACACTACCATAACAGCACTTCTGCAGATGACAGGTTCTCTCACTGCCAAAGGCCAAGTTTTTTTCCATTTACTAATATACATTAACCATTTGAAAAAAAAAAAGATACAACATACATTTTAGATATAGGTAACAATATTGATAAATAAAATAAAATGATAAGAATATTTCCATTATCCAGTTTCAAGTCAACAAATTTGGATTAAGAATATAAGGGAATTTTAAAATAACCCTCTCCTCTGCCCCCCCCCCCCCCCCCCAAGAAAACATGATGCCACAGTCAAAGCTAGAAAATAAACTCAAAGTGAATCCATTGATCTCAGTTCTTGGAACAGTATACAGGAACGAAGAATACCTCTCAAATAATTTGACCTGAATTAATAGTATTATAGTTAATATGTGGAATACCTAAAAGGACATCCAGAACCTCAAATGGAATACATGCAATCTTTGGTGCAAAAATAGTTTGCACAGGAATTACACATTCCTGGAAAAACAGCTGGAAGAGAACTCAAGAGGACATTTTAAGTTTAGTTAGACATGATTAGACAAGATCCCTGTCTAAATTGATCTCAACTAATCCAAATTGCTTTAAAAACCTTACAACGATGAATTATAAAAAATACTGACTTCTTACTTAATAAATATATTTTGTCTATATATTTATATGTATACGTACATATTCAGAGTCTTAGTTGCTTGTTTTAGTGACTGAAGTATTTGGATTTTTTAAAATTCTGTTGGCCACAAAGAGACAAGACATCTAAAAAGTATGATGAGAATTATATTTTCTTTTGTGTACACCACAGTTATTTTGCTCTAACAAAGTACATCAACAAAAAGCCACCAGAGGAATGGAACTGATACATCAACTGGCATGCAGAGCCTGGTATTACTGACAATGACACATCAGGAAGAAAGAACTCAACATAACTTTTGGATTACAGGTTTAGTTGACTAAACTGCCAAAAGGAAAAAAAAGCCTAGTTACTTGCTAAGTAACCATATTTAATAGTTAATCTATAAAGAACACAGAAATCAAACCCCTGATACTTTTTCATAGATCTACAATTCAGAGTAAATCCTCCTTTAAAGTGGTCCACTTTTGAACTAATTTAACATTATTTTATGAAATTTAAGCAGAATATGTATAATATTTTAAAAGTAAGGTGCTCTACAAAATAACAACTCTACATGTAACTTGAGATACTGATTACAGAAAGACTTTATAATGGATAATACACCTTAACTCTGGATTTCCCATGTTTTCCAGAATTCATGGTCAGTAGGGAAGCAGTTTCCCCTCAATTTCTGCTCCGTGACACAGCACTATAAACATGGCCAAGGACATTAGAAGGCTATTTCGTTTTTTTTCTTTCTTGGAAACAGCAAGTAAAGCGCATTGTTGAACGGGGAACTATCACCCTGATGTGGCATGAGTTGTTTGTGAATTATTAAATAAACAGTAGACTCATTATCATAGTGATGGAGCCTGTCAATTTCAGGGTGAGGTCAGAGTGGGAAGAGTTCTAATGTCCTTTACCTGGAACACAAGCAACAGAAGCCCCTTGTTTTGGTCAGTCTTGTATTTATTATTTCTTATATGATAGTGATGCTTTTGACTTTGGTATTGGCCTGGCAGCACCTTTGTTATAAAGAATTACACATAAAGATGAGGAGGTGGTGTGGGAGCACCTCCCACACCTGGTGGTGTAAAACTTCTGGTCTAGGAACTAGTTTTGGATACTTGGAAAAGAAAAGAAAGGAGATCTTTTACAAGTATGAGCCAGATCCAATATGCATGAAAACCAGTGGTTTCATTGAATCAGAGCTTAATTAGTTTAAAAAATGGGCTCCTCTCCATGTGAGTAAATTGAATGGGATTTTTCAGCACTCTGATTTAGTTGTCAGAAGTAAAAATGACTCCACAAAATTTAGTTTTCACCAAAACAACAGATCATGGCAACTTCGAAAACCTGATTCAAACTATCCAGTGCCAATCCCTTCTCTAATATACTTTACACTAAAGACTGGTGTATCAGGTAAAATAAAATTCAAAAGTTTTTTTTCCCCCAAACAGAGCATAATCTTCAAAGCTATGGTGAGTTTAGGGTTACAATCATTTCTAAATTGTTTAAATTTGCTTACTTAAACAATTTAACATGCACAGTTTCTTAATTTATTTAAAATATATATTAAAATGTATACTTCTGTAGATAATTAAATACTATTCCCTGTACCTCTAACCCAAAACCTTGAAGCATGGCTAATCTATTCATAATAACTAAAATGACTTGCCAGAGGTCGATAAGAGAATACTTCCTTGGCTCACTGGGGCCTAGACACTACTTCAGTCTGCTGGCACACGTGTTGCTGATAGACAGGTCTGTTTTGTGGCTAATGTTTGGGACTTTGACGTAGAAGGGAACACTTCAGATGCCTTTCTTGTGTGACCAGAGCAAGTCACTTAATTCTCTCTGCCACAGTTACCCACACATAAAATAGGGATATTAGTTCTAGTTAATGCAGAAAATACCCAATCTTGTATCTCTTGGAGTCAATCAAGTAATATTTGAGAGTTGAGATAATATCGTTTAAGGCTAGGGAAAAGAGAAAAAAGGGACAGACAAGTTTTTAGGTTTTAAAAAGCAATCAGCTTATTTGCAGACCTGTGGAAGGGCACTTGAACAATTAGGCTAAGTAGAGATAGCCCAAAAAAAGCCCAAGGCTGAATCAATTCAATCTTTGAAGGTTAGTTAAAGCTGCGTAGATTGAACAAATAAGCAAGAACAGACATTCGCTTTTGATTCTGGAAATGCAGCCACAACCCTTCAGTGGCCCTGGCCAGAAGCTGGGGGGTGCTATGGCATGCCTCCTTGCTTGGCTGGAGCAGACAGTTTGGGCCAAGGCTAGGCTATCTATCCTATGAGGTACAGTTTGCAGGGCAGGTCCAAAGCATCCTGGGATGCTCAGGGGCTGCAAGTTAACTTGAATTTGGAGGAGATCCGGGACAGAAGTTCAATAAACCAAATTAACCTAAATCAGTTAAGTCTGATACTACATCCATCCAAGTTTATCTTAAACTAGTTTTGGCCATTTTAAAGGAGTTTATATGCACTAAACTTCTATTGTGTTACAGATTTGAACTGGTTTCCAATAACTTATACTGGTTTGTGTGTAATTTTTGTCCCTAGTCCAAAAGCTTACCTCCTATATCTCCAAATTATATAAAAGTTGGTCCCGTCAGCCACACCACCACCATTACTGGAAAACCTGCGGCATACATACAATATCCTGTGTAGTATTAAAGCAGGACCAGTCTATAGGTAAACTTTTGGACTTAGGTCTAAATTTCCTAATTCTCATAGATTAAAAATGAAACTTAAAATTACTGGAACATAGTTTAGTTCAAGCAAGAACCTAAGAGGAAGAAAAAGAAAGAAAATTCACTTAAAATTTGCATTGCTCAGCACTGCATTACCTCTCAAATTACAAGTCAGAGATGTAAACTGACATCTGACTTGTTACCCCTCTGAATTAGCACTTACTGTTGTGTATTAGTAGGTGTCTCTGCAGAGAGAATGGAGTTCGAAACAAAGCTTTGCATTCTTCACACTGGAATGGTCTCTCTTCAGAGTGGGTCTGCAGATGTGTCAGAGGGAAGAATAAAGGACATTAATTAGGGATGAGTTCAGAGAGAATAGCAATAGCAATTCAGTATAAAAAGTGATGACTTAAAAAAAAATCCTGCATTTATGTGAAACCTCGCAAACTTACCCAGCTGCTATTAAATACATGTACAAAACAGGTACTAAGACTTGTTATATGGGGGAGGGGTACATGTGCAAGGAGAATAACTATATTTTGAAGGAAAACTACAAACTAAGCTTCATCACATTTCACCAAATCTTGAAATTTAAGGATCTCAAATTAAATGCGTGCATAAAAAAGTGTTACATTTTTAAAGCTAATTCCAGGCCATTTTTAGCAAACTGATGATCTGCTAATTTCCAAAACACTAATTTAAAATATGGCAAATAAAATCTCTCAAATCTAGAATCTATTCCCCACCCTTTTGTTTCAGCCTTGTTTACTAATCTGAAACAGGAGGCAGAAGAATTGATATTGAGGATCCTCACTCACATAAGTACATATTCACCAGAGCTAAAACAGCCTCATCAAAGCCATAAGCAAGACAAAAAGCAAAACTTGGCTGAATCTTGTAAACAAACTTCACAGCTGTTGAAGTGGATCTCTGGAGCTTGTGAAAGAACTAGCTTTACCCTACTTGTGTAAATTTCAAACCGCTTCCCCTCTCCTCTATTTTAATCAAGGACTACCTTATTAAAGCCACTAAATAAATGCATACAATATGTTATCTACCCAATTTCCTATAATTTTCATAAACACAGAAGTTTTAAAGAATCAGTATCGGAATACTTTATTTAATTCACAAGGACCGTGATTGAAAGCCATCAGGCCCTGAGAGAAAGGGGAGTGACAGGAAGTATTTTATAATATGCAGGGATTGTGGATAAAAACAAAATTCTGTATATTAAGAAGTCAATCTCATAGCCTAACAGCAAGCATTAATACAGTACACAAGTGCACAGTCTATTTTCTCTTTATGGCAGAAACAAATCCACAATGTGATGGGATAGTCATAGCTCTTCTGCCAAAAGTCAGCAAAATTACTTATAATAGCCTCTAGCATTTTTGGGTCACACTTTCATATTGATTTTTAGATAGTAATACAAAGATGTTAGGAGTCTTCATGACTCTAACAGTCATCAATAGTGGGTTACAAAACCTACAGCAATTATTAGAAATGTAAAGGGCATGATGCTTTTTTATTCAGAGATATTCATGCTTTTAAACATTCCTGTCCTTATTATTAAAATACAAGAATAAAGCTTTGTCATTTTTTAACTATACATTTGGATATGCACAGGGATATTTTTAAGAAGGCGTCTTGTGACTGGATGGCTCATAGAAAATGCTTACTGAAAACAGGGTAAAGCGGTTTCACTTCTATGGCAGTAGTTCAAACCCAGCCTAAGTCACATACAGCAGAACGGCCCACTGAAGCACTTCCAAAACAGTTATGTAAAATAAAAAGACTGTCCAGTCTAACTCCTAGCTCTTCACATCACATTAGCATTACTCAACACTCTTATTGGCAATCTCAGCAGAGAGGCCAAGGATTGACTGGGCATGAAGAGACTGAACTACCTTCTCACCTCAATAGGTGGTTCCTCCAGAACAGGGTTGAGACATATTGATGAAACACTGTGGGGAAGCTTGCAGTGCTGCTGTCTGTGCTGTACCTGTTCTGTGGATAAATAGAAGGGTTCAGTCTCCAGGTCTGTCAATCTGGCACCTTTCACGAGCGCAATATTCACTTCCTTTATTTCAGAATGCCCTAGTCTGGAATACTCATTAGGTTTATTATCTCTAAACACTAAGAGCCCTTTGTCTGCTGCGGTCTAAAAGGCAGAAGCCCTAATATATTTCTATACCTCTCCAACATGTGATAGATGTGTGTGTACTCCTTCAGATGACACTGTTATCACTATAAGCTCCTCACATTTGTTCTATGGTATCAGCCTTCAAATTGCAAAACAAGCTTAATACAAGTACTCGCATGCAATTTTCAAGTGCGGCCAACATGGCTATTGAATGGTGTTACAAAATTACACCTTATTGTATGATACCAAATCATACACATATGCTGTATAATGGTACACTATATACAATGTATTGTATATAGTGCTCATTAAACTTTTTTTTTATTTAAAAAAGGCATGATTGATATGCATGCAGCAAGAAAAACTAACAGAACTATTCAACCATTGTTATATATTCCATTCTTTTCCCAGCTTTAGGGCACATGAACCAGTGGGATGCTTCTAATCTGAAAGTAAGAGAAGAGATTACAGCTGCTCTTAAGTGTGGAACCATCTAAAACAGGCCTCCATCTGGGTTACTCGTCCCCTTCCCTGGTTCCTCTCCACACACCTCACTTCAACTATTGTTGAAGCTATATTTAGCTACATTTAGTTGTTTTTTAACCTGAATCAGCCTGGAATATTAAGCAACTGCCTAACACTATCAACATGAGCAGGTTCATTGACTTCAGGTGGCCTGCACACATGCTTAATGCTAGGTTACTGAACCAAAGCCTTAGATGGGGTTTGCTCCCCTACCCCATAATTAATGCTTCTTCATATAAAGTCAGTGCTGGGCTGCTTCTTGAAATGTGTTAAACACATTTGATCCAGGAAAGCACAGAAAAGATGCATAAAAAATTGGGAAAGTCTACAAGCACTTTTCTGTTACTGCAGCTCCAGCAATTGAGGATGGCGTGATAACGGATATTTTTATTGTTGTGTCCTCTACAGCAGATTTGAATTACATCATTTGTGCCCCATATATACTGCAACTTACACTATTGGAAGCACAAATAGGGCTGAACTGTAAAAAATTAAAAATAAAGAGACCAATTTCCAGCTGCCTAAAGGTTCACCGTGAAGAATACAAAAAAATTATCAATATTATACATTAAAACGCATATGGCTAGTTATTTCTCTATAATATCATTATCTTCATATTATCTCTGATGCTTGAAAGTAATTTTCCCTCATAGAAATCAATAAACTTTATATTAGGTGCCCACTAATTAGTTTTCCAATGTTCTGAATTGTACAGAAATAAACACACTATAGACTACATCAACCCAGAATCTTTCCTGGCACAAGAGACCTTATACTGGAAACCCTGAACAAAGTGATCTTGTCACCACACAAGCTACCTAACAACTCTGACCATGTCAGGGGATTGCAGCTGGCCAATATGGTTGCAAAAAGTACTTCATTTGATGGTTGATATGACCAAAAAAACTGGGACTGCTCCAGAATAGCCCTCTCTCAGCCTTTACCAAGATGGCTTCGGTGGATTCAGTGTCAGTTTAAATCTGCCCATCCCAAAGGAACTCCTGAAGGAGTGTAGTCATTACAACCACCCATTTTCCATGAATGAAGATCATTTGATTAGCTGTAAAACAGATGTTCTCAACTTTTTTAGACTCAAGGCACCCCTTAGAAACTGTCAGCTCCTAGGCTTCATTCGTTTTTTTGACTACTGAAAAACAATAGAGCAACTCCTCTATTGCAAAGAACTCAGAAAGACAACAACAGGTCACAATGTTCTCAACGTTATGAATTCCTATTTAAAATTTCTGGGTTTATATTGTGAACCATGGCACTTTGGCTGAGTCACTGCTCTAAGCCCTTCTAATATGTTGTCCACTTATCTGTTACTGCTCGTTGTTCTCGTCTCTTCAGACTTTATTCTAGACCCAATCTAGTATGTGAACAATTGAGGGGGAAAAAAAGGAAAGTCCTTCCTTTGTACTCAGTGTATAAAAAAATATATATATACTTCAGTATTTGTCTGCAAAGATGCACTTTCATAAAATCTGACCTGCCCTAATGGAAGGTAAAAAGTTTTATCTCTAGCACTGGTCCAATACTATTCTTATTATCATCTCTATATTTGCTGTCCACCTCTTTCGTGAAAAGACTTTATATTCTATGATTACCTACTTCATTTAAAAGCAGTATTTAGTCACCACAGTGAATGAACTGCCTTACGCCCATTACCTTTCCCAGAGAATTGGATATCTAATTCTCTTCGACTTTGAAAACTTTAGCCTTAGCCTGCACAGTATGCAGCATTCTCCAAAACTTGAGAAATGATTAAAAGCAAACAGGTTGTGAAAGTTAAGAGGTTTTTTTTGTTCTGACACACAATCAGGATAAGAGTCCTCATATAAAAATATATATTTCCATCTAAATGATGGACGTAAAATTCAAAGAAGGCACAAAATGTATATCCTGTTTCTTATTATAAATTTTTAAAAAATTACTATAATGCTAGCTGGCTGTAAAAGCCAAAGAAGATTTTCAGATTTGAAGGCATCAAATTTGATAACATGTCTTCTGTTAAAAACTGCTGATTTAACTGTTTTTTAACTAAAGCACATATTATTCTTACTACAGATTTACAGCCACATTGCTTCAGCGCACTAGAGCATTGTCAACTCATTCAAGTCCCCAGATTTACCTCCCCCAAAAGAAAAGAAAATACATATAGTATATCTGCATTGGACTACACAATGCAGAAGAATTAAAACAAGGGGCATAGAGATTTAAAAGAAAAGAATAAAACCATAAACATTAATACAAAGCTTAAGCTAAATAAGAGATCAGGTGAGACACTATGAAATTTTAAATTTCTGTCTTACTTGGAAGATTTCATTGTCATCAAAATACTGAACCACTTAATTCAGTGGTTCTCAATCTCATCTGGGTTTGAGGCACTGCTCTTGAGACTCAAGGCACCTCTCCATAACTTCAGTGAATTGAGTGGCACCTAATTTCAACACTTAATTTATATATTGCAGTGTTTACCTCCTTGCAGAGGCCAGGTAGTGGAGGTGGAGGATTGGCCAGCCAGGGACAAGCCTGCGACTGTGCTTATCTGCTTATCTCCTCGCACCTCATTCATCTCTTCAAAAATCTCATGGCACCCTAAGGTGCCATAGCACCCTAGCTGAGAATCAGTGGTTAAGCTCTTACAAATGTAGTCCTCCTTGAGCCACAGTAATAACAACATTCTAGATCACATATTTAGTGTATGCTGTACACTCTGATCAATTTTCATATATGCCGCTGAGCTTTACCCAATAAGAAAAGTATGTCACTTAGATTGAAGAGATATGTAAAGGGTCTCTGTCAAATCTGTAACTAAATGTAAAGAAAATATACATATTTTGTTTCTCTCTACACTTTCTTTATTCAACTGGACAAATACATTTGTATTACTTGCATACGCATTCAAGAAGCAATTACTCCCACACGTAGCAAGAATATCCATGACAAAAATAAACAGAGTATTTACCAGATAATTAAAGTCTTAGTAATTTTTTTTCAGCAAACAGACTACATATTTTTTGTTAAATAAAAGGTTCAGTTCTGTGAAATGTTTCTCATGCAATTTTTGCTGATATGAATACTGCCACTGGTGCAAGTAATAGTTGCAAAATTAGGCAAAAAACATCATTCACTATTCTTGATTCTGAAGTTCTGACTCCCTATTGGTCATCACATGCAGGTTATCATAACAAAAATACCTAGAACCTAGAAACCTGTTACGTTAAGATACAGAAGGAATTGCCCGGATTGTATTTCAGGTCCTTTTATAGAACTGCATCCATTCTGCAGGATTCACCTCCACTTTGTAGGGATCTTTTTTAAATGAGGTTTGATACGTAAGCTATGATCATAATGTGTATGAAAGTCTACTCATTCAGCAGGCTTCTGTATGCTTTCTGTTTTAGAACAGTTAGCACTGCTTCACCTTGCAAGAGGCATTATTATTACTTTCATATGATTTATGGCTGAAAGTATAAGAGATAGTGCAAAGATCCTGTGCCAAATTCCTGGATGGCATATAACATGAGCCAAACTGTGAAAAACGTGTAAGTATGGGTATATCAATTTCATCAAAGGGAAGGGGAGAAAGAGAAAAAGGGTTCCAAAGACTGGGCAGGAAACCAGCTAGATAATTTTTTACAGTCTTATAATTCTGAAACAGCAGTCATGGGTGCAGCCCTGCCATTGAAAATGGAACCTAGGGTTAAAAGTAATGACAGGCATTAGAGAAATTAGGCTAGGCAGACTGAGCTTAAATCAACACAAGTAGTGTCCCTGCATGGGCACATTCTCAGGGTAATGTTTCTTCTGATGTTGCAGTAATGTGCTATTTAACACTACCAAATGCAAATACGGTATTGTTGGAAAGCACCACATGATAGGTACAACGATTAAGAATGACTGCAAGAGCAATACTTGTTCAAATGTTGTCTGTTTTAACCTAAGACTGTGGATGTTTTAAATTAAAAAATTTGACCCGATAACAAAAATCAAAACAGAAAAATCAAATAAAGGATTTAGTCAATGCTCATTAGCAAAGGAACAGTATTTTGGTTTGTGTGTATTTTTTTTTTATGAAAACTCAGTTATCTTGAGATCTTGGCTATAACAAAAAACACTAGAAAATACATTTGCCAATACTTTAATCTTATGTTTATAAGCATGCCAGAGCTTAATGATCAACCATTTAAAAGGAAAATAGCTGCAAATCTGAGGCTGGCAGACCTGTAAACAACAACAGCAGAGTGCTTTACCTTCTTGTGATTCTTGTAAACATTTCTGTGGGCAAATCCCTTTCCACAAAGCTTGCATTTATAAGGTTTATCTTCACTGTGTATTATTTTGTGTGCAGTCACTTGATCAAGTCGTTTGAAGGACTTATTGCAAACCTCGCAGGTGTAGGGGCGTTTTTCTGCAGAAAATGAGTGGGGGACATTTAATCTCCTGTTTGTACAGGGGGAGAAGATGAAAGGCAAAGACAATCATCTCCTCAGAGAGATTTTTGCAATTAAGTCAACCCAATTAAGATTAAACCAATTAGAAAGACATCTAATGCCCTTTATGTTAGACAGTTAAGTCACTTCATAAAAGATGAGCCATGGTGTATCTCAAGAAATTGGCACATTCTTTGCAATAATCATTGCTAAAACTAAATTCTGATTAATTAGCTTAAATCAAAAGAGAATGACTTCAAAGAGGAAAAGCCTGTTTTCAGATTACAAATGTGAAAGAGGGCATGACAGTTTAAATGTTTTAAAACTTAATTAACAATATACCTATCATATTAGCTTCCAAAACCTAAAGTCGCTATGAAAAAGCCTTTATGCTCCAACTGGTGACTGCAACTTAACTGCATAAACCCTGTATTCTCATTCAAAATGTGTCAAAACTAAGCTAAAAGCTGCTGTGATAAAGTTAATGCGTCTTCAGTGTGGGCTGATATCAAGAAAAGAAATAAATTAGAAGTCTCTGCAGTTGTGAAAGCCTGAATTTTTTAAACTTTAATGTATTTGACAGGACAACGTTCATGAAACCATTGAGTCACTTGGCATTTCTAATCACTGGGTGAAAGACATGGAAGGCCTGAAATTATTAGAAAAGCTCATAGAGCCAACACTACTAGGGGGGCTCTCCCTAATCACAATGATCTACTCCATGACAGGCCAAACCTGGTGAAAAACTGGTCAATTGCATGGTGTAGAAAATGGCCTGGCTCGATGAGTGGCAGCTTTCTGCCTACAACCTGAGGCCACTAAGGAAGTCTGAATGTGTCTCCCTTTCTCACAGTCCGATGTCAGCAGTATATCCCAGTTTCATTCCCTTTCTGTTCAACATGAAACTTCAGCCACTAAGAACCTACTCTCCTTCACAAAACAAGTAGCAATCTAATTTTTCCCCGTGGAACTGAACTTTCCCGTCCAAGCTAATATAAAAAGGCAGCTTCAAAAAGTTTCGAGGGGCAGGAGACTGCACTGTTAAATATGGGTATTCTACTAGGGTGAAAAGCATTATTTAAATGATTTTACAGGGAGTAGGTGGGTGGGACAGACTTGACTGAAACAGCCTCAAAACACAGTGGTATTCAATTCTCTTAGAAAATAATCTAGGTAATACCTCAGGGACCAATTACAACATACTGAAAAAAATTAAAGATTTTTACCTGAATGGGTTATCATATGGCGTTTTAGCTGGTTAGCTGATATAAATTTCTTGTCACATTCCTGACATTCAAAGATCTCATGAACCTGCAAAGTGTTTAACGATAATTAAATATGTGTTTCCAACAAGATAGCGCCTCTTCAATATACTGAACATCCCTAACAAATCATAATTATCTCTTAGCCAGTAGCTATGCTAATATTTATTGATAGTTTGTGACTTCTTTAATTACCCCATGCTGAATAGTAAAGTCTGAAAAAATCAAACACTACTTCTGAACAAAAATTTAACACCAAGGCTACAGACAGAAATGAGTGTATCAATGCATACTATCAGATGAAATTTGAATTCCATCAATATGGAAACATGCAAGAAGTGTAGAATGTGTCAGTGCATTTACCTCTAACAAGTGTGAGTATACAGGCACACCTCTCTCTCACGACTTGAAATAATAATCATAACCATTACTGTCACTTTAAAAAATATTCATTCAGGAAAGTTAAGCCAAATTAAAAAAAATGAGTGAATTTGAAGTGGGTTAGTTAAAGTACATTAAATGGAAAGTGGAATTGGAGTAAACAGTAAAATTATCTGTACTCCAGTTTACTCCAATTTAAGGAATTACTGTAAAGTTAATTCACATTTTATTTTTATTACATTAAACTGCCAATGATTAGCTGTTATCACAAATGAAAAAAGCTGATCATCTAGATTCACCTTACTGGACATATTAGACTACCAATCCTCCTACTCCAAAAAAAAAAAGAAAAAAGAAAAAACAAAGAAAGATACTCTTAATATAGTTAACCAAGACCTACTGCTGTAATTACTTATGCAAGTAGTGTCCACTCACATTAGTTATCCCATCTTAGTTAATGGGGCTACTTTCCTGAGTAAGACCTACTTCCTTCCAAAGTAATTTGAAATTAGTATACTGAATTTCTCCTGTCGTATTTAAGAAGTGACATTATCAAGCCAATTTTCCTGCAAATTTTAGATTTGGTGAAAATAAGCTTTATATAATTGTAATATTAAGAGGGAGATTTCAATTTTTTTTCTAATTTTAATTAAATAGTAATCTATGATGATTTCTCTCAAAACCGACCATGTTGGTGCTACAGTAAGAGAACTTGAAAGTTCAACCCAAAAGAAACAAAATAAATTAAACAGCCATTATTCAGGATGAAATAAGAATTCCTCAGAGTTGGATTCCATACTTTTCTTGACTAAATGTAAATCATTTGCTGTAATAACGTTTAAACCTGGCACGTAGTAATCAATAATCAGACAGAATTACCCTTTAAATCACTACCAGATTATGCTTTGCATCACATATATTTTAAGAGCAGTGCCGTATTTTGCAGAAATTTCAGTGAGGAAAAAGTAAACTGAAGGTCTTGCTCTAACAGAGACCTTAACATCCGGAGGAAAAGCAGCAAGAGGGCACAGCAGCCCCCTTGGCTCAACAAGGAACTAGTGGTCCTCCTGCGTCTAAAAAGACAAACCTACAAAGGATGGAGGACAGGATCCACCTCCAAGGAGGAATATACTGCACTGGTGCGAACCTGCAGGGAGCGAACCAGGAAAGCCAAGGCTGCAATGGAACTCCAACTGGTTACAAGTATCAAGGACAATAAAACATCCTTTTTTAGATATGTGGGGAGCCGGAGGAAAAGCAAGAGCAACATTGGACCCCTGCTAAACCAGAAGGGAGAACTGATGACCGACGCCCAGGAAAAAGCCAACTTACTAAATAGGTACTTTGCGTCGGTCTTTCACAAGTCCCGTGGGATGCCCCTGCCCATTATGGGACAGGGACGCCTGAGTGAGGGTGGTTTCTTGCCCCCCATCAATGCTGACCTCGTGAAGAAACACCTTGGAGAGGCTGGACACCTTCAAGTCAGCCAGCCCTGACAATTTGCACCTCAGAGTACTCAAGGACCTGCCTGCATCATAGCTCAGCCCCTGGCAAGGATCTTCAAGAGCTCCTGGTGCTCGGGTGAAGTGCCCAATGATTGGAAGAAGGCCAATGTGGTGCCTATCTTCAAGAAAGGGAGGAAAGTGGATCCGGCAAACTACAGGCCCATCAGCCTGACCTCTATCCCGGGGATGGTCTTGGAAAAGATTATCAAAGAGGCCATTCTTAAGCAACTGGCCGATGGCAACACCCTGAGGGATACCCAGCATGGGTTTGTTGCAGGTAAGTCATGCTTGACCAATCTCATTTCCTTTTATGACCAGGTGACCTATCCCCTGGACAAAGGGAAAGATTGATGTCATATATCTTGACTTTAAAAAAGCCTTCGATCTGGTATCCCATGATCACCTCTTGGCAAAACTGGCCAACTACAGCCTCGGTTCCACCATGATCCGCTGGCTGGGGAATTGGCTCCGTGGTCGGACCCAGAGGGTGGTGGTTGACAGAAGTCAATCGTGATGGTGCACTGTGACTAGTGGGGGTCCCTCAAGGCTCTGTTCTTGGACCTATTTTGTTCAACCTCTTCATTAATGATGTGGGCACTGGCGTCAGAAGCAGACTGGACAAATTCACCGATGATACCAAACATTGGGGTAAAGCATCCACACCTGAGAACAGGGGGGTAATCCAGGCTGACCTTGACAGCTTCAGGTAATGGGCGGACAAGAACCTGATGGTGTTTAACACTGAAAAATGCAAGGTTCTCCACCTTGGGAGGAAAAATCTGCAGCATGCTTATAGGCTCGGCAGTGCTATGCTGACTAGCACTATGGACAAAAGGGACTTGGGGGGTCATGATAGACGACAAGATGAACATGACCCTTCAATGTGATGCCGCAGCTAGTAAAGTGAGCAAAACCTTGGCTTGCATCCAAAAAGGATGTGGAGAAGCTTGAGAGAGTCCAGAGGAGAGCCATGAACATGATCAGAGGTCAGGAAAACAGACCTTATGATGAGAGGCTGAGAGCCATGGGACTCTTCAGCCTGGAAAAGCACAGGCTCAGGGGTGATCTGATGGCCACCTATAAGTTTATAAGGGGTGTTCATCAGGATCTGGGGGAATGTTTGTTCACCAGAGCGCCCCAAGGGATGACAAGGTCGAATGGTAATAAACTCCTCCAAGACCGTTTCCGGCTGGGCATAAGGAAGAACTTCTTTACTGGCTGAGCCCCCAAGGTCTGGAATAGCCTGCTGCCGGAGGTGGTTCAAACACCTATTTTGAACACCTTCAAGAGAAACCTGGATGTTTTTCTTGCTGGGATCCTATGACCCCAGCTGACTTCCTGCCCCTGGGGCAGGGGGCTAGACTTGATGATCCTCCGGGGTCACTTCCAGCCCTAATATCTATGAAATCTATGAAAAAAATCACAGAAAGAATAAAGTGACTTTATCCACAACTAAACATCTAATTTAGAGTCTCTGACTTCCACAGAATTAACTCTTGCTGTTTTTCTTCCACTAATAAATGTATTCAGTATTATGGTAGGGTCATAATGGCAATGTAGTTGTGATGGTCCAACAAATATGTAAGCAAGGGGTTTTTTGGGGGACAAGCAAAGGGCTTGGGGGGACAGGAAGTTTGCGGGGGGATTGGACCAATTGTATAATTATAAGAACTGTCTGACAAGCTTTCAGACACAGAGTACCCTTTCCTCCAATCCAAAAAAGATGCAGATACAGCCTAAGCTAAATAGCAGATAAAACAAGAGATCTGATCCTGTAGGTGGATTCCTGGGGTGAGCAAAAGTGGGTCCCTAAAGCCTCTGGAGCAACTGCCTGGGTTGGCTAGACAGTGCGGGCAACTCTGAGCTGCTTATGCTCTCCGATCACAAAGCAAATAGAAATCTACTGCAACAAAGCAGCACTATTTTAACCTTTTGTTACAGACAGGGGTGTGCTGCAGCAAAGGGTAGGGGCATCTATTTGTTGCCATTTATGCTGCCATAAAAACCTTTCATTAGATGTAATTTTTATTGAGGCACATACAGAACCTCAGGTAGTAGCTGCAAAACAAATAAAGATAACCTTTGTAAAATTACGTTATCTATTTAAAATGCCCTTTATCTGTTTTATTTAAATTAGGCTATAGTTGCTGTTTCCCAGACCTGAGGGAAGGTACTCTGGGCTCAAAATCTTATCTAATATGTCTCCCAACTATAAAGTAGGTCCCATAAAAGATACAACCCTAAAAACATATGCTTATTCTATATTATGCACATAGCCCAGTGGTCAAACCTTTCTAAAGGATTCTGTTAAAGCTATATTCATATATTACAAGCAAATGGAAGAGGCCCTTCTGAGGCACTCAGGATAATCTATGCTACACACATAAGTGAAAGCCATAAAGAAATGTTCTACTCAAAAATCTCCTTTACAAATTAAATGCTTCATGAGGTCTGAGCTGCACATCATCTGCTTTGTGATTCATGCTGTATTTAAAATGCATTTTGAAACAAATTAATTATTTTAGTAATAATCACGACAGGTTACCACCACTTCCCCAGGATTCCACAAGTTTCTGTATGCTTCCATTTACTTTTACATGTAGAAAGGTCCAGAGTCTTTTAGACCCAAAACATCTCTCTAAAATCAGGTCGGAGGGCAACTTTTCTCTGCACATTCCTTGTTCTGTTGGGATGAACAATGGTTTCATATCCTTTTTCAGCTCGCCTGGTTTTTCCTTCTCTCATACAATTCAGTAATTTCACAAACAAGCCAACTCAGAATATTTTAAATAAAATGGGATGAAATATTTAGGGAAGAAGCAAGGTACCAATCCAACAGTGCTCTTTACTTCTGCATAACTCTGATTTCAGCTTACAAACTGTTACACACAGTCCTCCTAAAAAGGGGGAAATTGTAGCAGTGGTTTAATAACTATGGAGGAAAACTTTTAAACATAGGGGGGGAAAAATCTTTTCTATTTTTTCTTCATACCAAGAAAAAGGAACAGTAGGGTGGTATCATAGGTTACATAAAGCCATTACATTTTGATCTAAATGCCTATCCATACAGGCATTCAGAAGGGGTAAATCAGGCAAAAAAAAATGGTGGGCCCAAACTAAGTAAGTTTACCTGAGGAGGTGAACTAACTTATATCAAGAATGA